CCCCAAAACCCCAAAACCCCAAAACCCCAAAACCCCTATTCAATTTTGTATAATTGAATTTATTTAAAATGAGGAGAACAAGTCTTTCTCTCGCTTTGAACTCTGACATTAGTTGTGTGAGTGATAAGAAGATGAAAAAATATCAGCCAAGGAGTAAGCTATCCGCATCTAACCCTCTAGAGAAAACACGCAAGCACAGTAAGGCTCTCAGATGGGGTGGCAATTACCAAAATATTTAAGAATAAGAAGTACACTGAGATTCATGAGGAAGCCAACCAACTGACCCTCGAAGCACATAGTATGATAAGAGATCTGAAGAACGCTGGCAAGTACTCCAAGATATGGGTCATGAAACACCAAATGGAGAAATATAAGAAGTAAGCTTATCTCTTTAGAATTTTAGGATGAAACAGCTGAAATATTCATCGATCGAGCTTGATAGCTCCGGACTTGATATCCCCCAGATGAAGAGTATTTATTATAAGGATAACCCTGATGACAGCCCTATTAACTTTGTGATGAATAGAAATAGCTTCCGCAATTCAAAAAGTAAGATTAAATATTAGTTTATTTCATTAGACACCACCTTTGATGAACGTAAGCTCAGTCTTCCCAACCCAAAGAAGGAAGGACAGAGGGGAGGTAGTATCGGAGCTAATAGCCTCGATATTGGAGATAGTAAAAGAAGGAGCATAGTACTTACTCAAGATGATGGCCTCAAAACTTCATCCAGATATGATAAGTTTTTGAAGAACTGATTGAATGAGAAAGAAGTAAAGAAGACTCCTAAAGGTCCAAAATTGTTCACTCCTGGAACAATGAGGAAGACCATTATCGACAACAAGTAAGTCCTATCTTTCTTTTTTGTTTCTTAAAACTTCTCTAGGATCAAGAGCATATTGAGAACTAGTAAGTAAAATGGCTATGTACAGACTCTAATTTCCGTAAATCTTCCATAATATCAAATAAAAACCATGTCCAGACAAATTTGAACGCAGATTCCTTAAAATAAATCGTTTGAGCTAATTGACAAGAACTTCTCTGCATGGAAGAGTTCTAGGAACAAGAATAGGAGTACACTTTACAGCAGCCACAACAGACACCCCCTGCTATCAGATATCTCGTTTCAGGAAGGCAGCGTATCGGCTGAGAGATCAACTTACTCACCTACTCATAAAGGTAAAGTTTGGACATATTTTTATAAAACCTTACATATTTCGGTGAGATTTTTATGGAAATATTATACAAATCTGACCAGTTTTCTCCACAAATCTTGGATATTACCATTCTTAGCTTTCATTGGTGGCTATTATGCTTCTCAAAACTAGGTTCGTCAGCAAAGCTGAAAGCAAGGTTCTTTAATAGAGGATTCTATCTAATATTTTGGTTCATTTTTATTGGTTTGTTATAAATAGTAATTAATATTCCTATCCTGACAATAGCATAATTCGTCTGAGAGGAAACACAAATTTTACTAAATGTTTCATTACTATATTTTCCTCAAATCTGGTGTCCTATACTTTCTTGAGGTATTTTATTAAAATCTGGAAGATAGTAGTGAGTATTTTAGTATACACTCTCAGCCCATAAACACACCAAATAAGATCCCAATAACTACTCCTACAGTCCTGACCAAAACAGATCTCCTGACTAGATACAACCTGAACTGGTAAGTACTCCTACCTAATCACCTAGAACTGCTAAGGAAAGTAACCGGTTTCAGAGTAATCCTCCCCTGACCAGTAGACGTAGCCATAGTGACTTCAAAGAAGCTGGAACATTTCAAATAAGTTTGCGGAGTTTCAGAGGCAGTGAAGGCAACTGAGAGATGAGGTAGAGGAGTTAGGGGATTGGAGGCATGGGTTTTGGGGGGAGCTGGTCTTTGGAATTTGTGATTTTGGATGTTTTGAAATGGATTTAGGCGGAAAAAGATGATAAACAGAGAGGAGCGGAAGTAGGGAGGAAGAAAGGGAGTAGGATGGTGGATGATTTTTAGAGTTTAAATCTGTGTGTAAGAGGAGAAGAGTGCCAAGGAAGGATAGTAAGACCAGTTTTTTTGTTTTGGGATTTTTTAGCAAATGTGTTTTAATTTTGGCTCTAGAGAATGCTCCAATGGCATGAGACCAGAAGGAATTGGTCATGAAGTTGATGAAGAAAGAGGTTTGGAGATTTTAGGAATTTACTCAACATTTTATGTTTTTCTCAAATTCAGTATTTTAGTTATGATTCTAAAGAATTTTTGCTATGTATTTGGCAACCTTAAAACTTCCTTATTTGCTCAGATTTTGAGGAATTAGAATGTAAGGTTATCCAACTAGATTTCAAAGGAGGAATATGATGAAATGATGAAGGAAAGAGGTATTTTAAAAATTAAGGTTATTTGTATAGAACTATATGACCAGTTTGACACGATGAATAAGATATTTAAAGACTCCTTAGATCCTTATATCGGTCTAGAAATAATGGAATAAAAGCGGCAAAAGCTGCACAGAAAGAGGCTGTTAAGCCAAAAGCTAAGTTTGGAAAGCATAGATACAATATACCTTCACGGACATTAGTATCTCCTGATCCTTCAGAAGATAATTCTATCAGTAAATTTCTTCATTATTCTATTTTTAGTAGTTCCAGATTCTCAGAATAAGATGATTAACAATTATTTCTTCCGAAATTTCCTAAACCGGCGAATTAAAATGCTAAACCAGGTAAAATGACACCCCAGCTTAAAGAAGGCAATGATGACAAAATATGCTAGAAATTTAAATCTATAACCAAAAATTTCAATATAAACATTTCAGCATGGGGTTTTGGGGTTTTGGGGTTTTGGGGTTTTGGGG